ATATATATATATATATATATATATATATATATATATATATATATATATGTATGTATGTATGTATGTATATTTATTTATTTTTTTCTGCCTGCTGCTTTTATATTTATTACTTTATTGTTTTTCTTTGTCTTTTATTTTCTTTTTTTTGTAGCTCCGTCTGTCGCTAGCAAGGCGGTGAGGGTCCATACATTTTAACATTCTTACAAACCCTCAAATACCCTCTTACAGGGGCCCCCAAGGGGCCCCCGGGGCCCCTATACAGCGGCACTAGGGGGCCCCCTAGGGCCCCCCCTAGAGCCCCTTCAGGGCCCCTCTAGATACCAGTGGGGGCCCCCAAAGGGGCCCCCACTGGGGACACATCTAGAGCCCCTTGGGGGCCCCCTTGGGGGCCCCCTTGGGGCCCCCTTGGGGGCCTCCCTGGATCCCCTTGCGGGGCCTTCTTGGGGGCCCCCTTGGGGGCCCCTCTGGATCCCCTTGGGGGCCCCCTTGGGGGCCCCCAAGGGGGCGCCAAGTGGCCTTTTGAAGACGACGACAATTGGCTTGCATATAATGTTTTAATTGTCTCTCTATGCGCATGCAGCGCATGCATGCATGCATGCATGTGCTGCATGCGTTTCTTTGGTGTGTTATGGGGTTAAGAAAGAGAAGCAAATACAGCAACGCCTAAACTCTATACATTGGCGAAGGGGAGAGGGTAGTAGGGGCCCCCTATATAGAGCTGAAGGGGGCCCCCCTCATCTGCTGTCGCTCGGATTGTAGTGCAGTCTTTTGTTTTCTTTTTGCTGCTACAGGGGTTGGGGTTTAGGGTTTAGGGTTTAGGGTTTAGGGTTGCAGTAGATATACCAATTAAATAAATAAGATGAAATAAATTGGTAAAAAGGAGAAATCTGTTCAAGTACAATTATATGTATATAAATAAATAAATAAATAAATAAATAAATAAATAAATATATATATATATATATATGTATAGATGTTTATTAGTTTTGTTTGTATATGTTTATGTTTTGTTATTTTTAAGTGTATAAGTGTATATTCTTTCTGCTTCTCGGTGGAGCTTCATCAGCACAAGACGGAGACTGTTTATATCGTGTTTATATATTTCTTCTATTTTTTTTTCTTTGCTCAATTCAACAATTCTTTGAAACCTATACAGAGGGGCCATGAGGTCTAGAGGCTCTGCTGCTGCTCCTGCTGCTGCTGCTGCTGTTGCTGCTGCTGCTGCTGCTGCTGTTGCTGCTCCCCTCGGTAGGGGGAGACCAAGAGCTGCTGCTGCTTGCATGCGGACTCGCTCCAGCAGCCAGTCTGCATGCGCCTGCAGGCTGAGAGGAGTTGTTGATGCATCGAATAAGATAAAGAAAAAAAAACAAAAAAAAATAAAAATAAAATAAAATAATAACGGAGGGTAGCAACAGAAAAGAGTAAGGAATACAACAAAAAGAAGAAACAGAAAAAGAAAAAGAAAAAACAGAGAATGAAATACTATAAAGTTTTTTTTTATTTTTTTTTTGTATTTACCCCTCTATCTCTTCTCTCATCTTGTTCTTAGTTTTTAATTTCTCCTCCGCTGCAGCAGCTGCTTGTTGAAAGCGGTGTGTATGGAACCTGA